TAAGAACTGAGGATCTGCCTCAATATAAACACACAGATCACAATGAAGAGCAGCACAGAATACAGTCTGTCCTTTGAAAGGATTTCCAGGATCCAAAACAAACTTTGGATTTTCTGTGGCTTGTAATGAAAAGTAATGTCATGTCAGTGACTGGTGTGGTGCACAAGCAGATGTTCATGTGAAAATTCAATGTTTACCTACTGAAACTGAATCTTTGAAAGATTCAAAACAGCAAAAAAAATGCAGAACAGCAGAGCAGTGACCCTTCACTTTGGGGAAACCAAAGCTACAATTAACATACCCATATACTGTATATACAAATAGTCCCAGAATCTACAATCTTGCTCCACCGGAGATGCTCTCCTAGATGTTTTATGAGTGGCTTTAATCATAATCATGGCATAAAAGAATATTACACTGCACACAATGATTGGCTAAAATATGTCTTGAAGTACTCAGCTGGACCAAAAAAAAAACAAAAGACAGGCTTGGTATCCCTATTCAAGAAGGCTCAACATTACTGTAGTCTAGTAGCATTCAAATGTGGAGAGAGCATTAAGTCAGAAATTCTTCTCTACAGCAAATGGCAAATGTTGGGGCCTTCTGTTCCTGGATCGTGTTCTTAAACATTATCATCTACTAGAATGAAACTGCTAGAACATTCAAAACCCAAAAGAAAGCTCCACATATCACATCTAAAGGGGCATATCAATGTGATTCAACACAAGAAAAGATACATCTATCATCCATTAGTGATTGAACTGCTGTGCAGTTTCTAGTACATTCACAGAACTGCAAAAGTGGAATCTGAACAACTTATCCAGAGAGGAATTGAACACGCTCTTTCCTTCATTATTTGTGAGAGAAAACTCATTTATCCCTCTGGTATTCAAGAAATTAAATTTCTTTTGAAACAATGCTTTCTTTTTTGTCCCCCAGCTTTTATTCCCAGCTTCAATGAAAAGTGGGCAATTTATCCCAGTCCATGAGCCTGTGTCACCCGCCGCACTGCAGAAACAAAGAGATAGTGTGCAGGCCATTTAGAATCATTAGCCAAGGCCACATTGGCAGGGAGATGTGACATGCCAAATCCATCACAGGAAGACTGAGTACAATGCAGACACTTGGTAGAAATGTCTGGAACCGTGGGAGAAATTAAAAAAAAGAAAAGATGTGAGCGTTCAGGAGTGTTGGGGCAGGCTATAATGATGGCGGAGGGTTATTTTTGGAGGCTTCCTGTGAGTGACAGCCCAATCAAGGCAGGGACAGGTGTCATAGCTGTCGTGAGGTGAGGGACGAGTGAAGATCGCAATCGGCTGTGTAGAGCACCAGCCTGGGCTGCCAATGATCAAGTTGGCTTGAGAGGGCAGCTAAGGGACTGGGGACTGGCGAGGGCAGATGGTCGTTCTCTTTTATGCACACCTTTTGAAAAACAGAAGTATTGTAGGCTTTATATTCACTGACTGCAAATGAGTGGAATGGCATTTATAATGCATTTCACCATGAAAAACTGCCTTGTCTGAGGTACTGTTGTTCCAACCTGCCAAGCATTCACTCTGCACACCCCAAGTAAGCCAAACACAAATCACCAACCGCAAAAGGCTGGTCTCCTGGTTTGAGAGGTTTGGACCTTGACATGACCTGAGGGATCAGTGCAATGATTTCATCGGAACATTCTCTCTGAACAAGGGTCTCCTCTTGCCCTGCGAGACCTGCCATCAACCATTCTGCACCATTAAAACTCTCCTGAACAGCAGAACTTAAGTGCAGAAATTCATGCTGGAGAGGGCTGAAAACCCACCCAGTAAATATGAAGTTCATTTCCTTGTTGTCTTTTTAATTACTTTAGGGTTCTGCCAACTACATCTAGAACTGCATTACAGAGATGGGCACTCTTCCAGAAACTAATTGTGGAATAACTTTTAAGAACCCACTTCAGCTTGGTAATTAACTCAGTTTGACACACAATCAAACTGAACAGAACAGAATCTAGGAAATAATGTTGAAGGGTGTTAACAAGTGAGAAATTAATTATGTCCAACCTAAGTTTTAATTAGGTTTTTTTTTTTCAAAATTACTGTAGTAGTAAAACATCCCTGAATGTTTAGTGTAATCCAAATGTGGTGTATCACTTTCAGCCACTTAATCATTTGAAGCAGATATTTTGTAAGGCACTCTGTAGCTGTAGCTGCTGATACAGAGTTCACCCTCAAGGCTTTGTAAATGTTTGCATATCATGTAAAGACATCTTTGAAAGTTTTCTCACATTTTTTAAAGTATTGAAAGCTGATGGGATAAACCCAGATGTTTAAAGCCCTTCTTAAAATCAGTTTCCAGAAAGAGAAACCCAGAACAAACCTTTCTCCCATTCACCATTATATAGTAAGTACAATTACCACCATGTCAGAGCAGGTGGCAGCTCCCTGTATGAGCACTTTCACCACTTTAGATGATGATAACACTGAGCAAGAGAGAAACAGCAGCCTTTCATTTCACACCTTGCTGAGGAAAATTTCAGCTTTCATTAATTTTCACAGAGTTCAGTTTTGTAGATGTTTGAAGAACATCCTTCTGCTAAAGTAGCAATTGGAGACTTTACTACTACATTTGAAAAAAAAAAAAGAATTTAGACAGTCATGTTCCATTTTATATTGCAGCATGCTCTTGCATTGAAATATCAAAGGTAAAAGACATTCATCACCTTTTGCCACTGATATCCAGCAAGCATTACATCTGTAGTTTCAACAGCATAATTTCAGTGCAAAAGTGCATCTTAAGGCTAGGGTTAAGGTTACCTAGTAGTTGTAGCAAAAGCACAGTCATTCTTCCTTTCTAGAAACCACAGACTTCAGCTGCTCCAAAAATAGAGGACTTATCAGGAACCTACAAAGGGTTGTAGAGGTCTTTAACAGACTGCCAAGCCAGTTCAAGGAACAGCTTGATCAGATTGGTAAGACTGCTCTTCTCAGCTGTCACCTTTACCTCAATGTTCTTATTCACTTTGTGTAATGAACCATTTGTTTACAAGGCACAAGTAGGATCTAAAACTCAGTTTTGTAGAAATAATATTGGCTTTTGCCATTTAGAATCTCAAAATACCAGCACTTTTATTAAAACTGGAGAGGGTGCAGCCTTTTGGCATCATGGTGTGTCACCCAATACAAACTCCTCAGAGGAACCCCACACACCAACTGACTAAAGAAAGCAATACAAGCCTGAGAAACAGTGATCAGATCCTGAGCTAAGCAAGCCAGTGTCCCTGTTCAAAACCATTTTTTAAATTAATTTACATTTTTTATTCATCTGATTGCAAGTTGATCTAAGTGAATAATTAAGGGTCTGATTACAACAAGGTGGGGAAATCTGGAGTGCATGATGAGCAGCCCACAACAGATGCGAATACAGGCACTTGGATGAAAACAGGAACATGTGAGAATGTCCTGTACAATCAAAGCAAATAATGCAGAATGAGCCACTGTCCTCAGTGCTGATTGTAGTAAGTGTCCATTACAGTAAATACAACACATCTGTTTGAGAGTTGACTTACATTTTAGGGGGCATTACTCATTTGCAATCAGTGCACGAGAGAAAGATAAGAGAAGCAACCGACAAGACCCCTCTCGAGGGTGCTTTCTGCAGACAAGATGTGAAAAGCATGCACAAAAATCACAGCGGAATTGGGCTATCTATAAATAGACTGCAGCTCATAATTCAGAGCTTCACTTCAAGGTGATCCAATTATAAACCCGTAAATCTTTTTTTTTTTTTCCCCAAACTTTCAGACGCATTCCAGCTGTGTTTAACCATTAAGGTCACAACAAAAAAATATAGATATTTAAGCCCCTCCCTACTTTTTGGCTCAGCCATTCTTTCTGTCACATGGAGGGAGGTAAAAAAGAATGGTGTTTTAGGATGTATTACGGTATTTTACAAAGGTATTCACCCCATTTCAGCAAAGTCCCATTTTGTTGAATGAAAAATGATAGATATTTTTTTTAAGCCATTTTTAAACAAGTCTACCAGCTTTGCGCACTGGGATGATGCAAAGTCTTTCCACAGATTTTACTGGCTTTATTTATAAGAGAGGGGACTCCTGAGTGGTGCAACCTGTAAAGGTTTTAAGCCTAATCCTTTTTATGACAACCTGTGCCTTGCTATTGTCATTCATCACCCCTCTAAAGAATGTGAGAGTGACTGTAACATCACTGTGTGAAAAGCATGGGCTCCAGTCATAGAAGCTGTGAAGGCATGGGCTAGGCAACTCATCAGGAGATACTTGCAAAGGTAAACCCAATCTGTTTCTTCCGAAGTGCATTTTTGTTTCATCTGGCTTTTTTGCAACTTGTTTTCTTTTCAACCCTTTTGTGAGGCACTGCAAAACTGTTATCCAGCTCATATTCACAGCACTTGCTATATAAACAATGGACTCCAGCATGGATGTCATCAAGTTTTCCCTGTTTTCCCTCCTACCGTCCGGTAAACGGTACCAAAACATTCAATCAAAGACCAAAAGATTATGGGAACAGCTTCTACCTCCAGGCAATAAGACTGCTAAATAGCCAAGCTGCAGTTCCTTCAGCAAATCAAAAATGGCTACATGGACATACAGTTTTCATTGTATTCGCAATACTGCACTACTTAGACATAATGTACAGTACTGCATACACCCTGGACACATAGCAGCTCTATTTATATTGAGTTTTGTCTCAGTTTATTTTATTCAATTTCTATTGCACTTTTATCTATTATTATGTAACCTTATTTTGTAACTTTAATTTTGTGATTTTCACCCCCCCCGGGTGAGCTTGTAGAAAGACATTGCATTGCCAGCAACTACTGTTGTACGCTGTATTGTTGTGCATTTGATAAATAAACGTTGATTGATTGATTGATGTCTGCATCAGGGCCTGAAATATGCACAAGACACCGAGATAACAAAAGAGAAGAGCAGGAAAGAACAACTCCTTTTGGGAAGAAATGAAAGCTTATGAAGATCTTACCTATCCACCTCATGAGAGATGTCATGATCTGAAGATACTTGGTTTTCTGAGCATTGAAGAAGGTAAAAGGACCCAAGAGCAAAGTAAAGATGGTCTGTAACAGAGAAAAGAATGGAAATGTAGTAAACTTTAGTACCATTGTAGACCTCCAGAGTTCCTGAAAAATCATGTCAATCAGCACTTTAAAATCCCACCTTAAAACATAGTCTTACCAGCATCACAGAAGGAGATCATGCTTCATATAAAGAGCTTTATGATGAAAATTAAGGATTAATGTGCATATACTTTATGAGCCCAAATCTGATAGTTTCCAGAAAAATATTTACTTAAAAGTTTCCAAATCTATCATACAAACTTTCCAAATGTCAGTTTGTTGTTTGTGCAGGTGCGGTGCTGCTTTGAGCTGCTGGGAAAATGTTAGCTGCAGGTGCTGAAGAAAAGGCTTTCTCTGACTTTGCACACCGTCAGACACATCATGTACTCAAAAGCGCTTACCCCTGAATTGAATGCATCCTAAAAATGAGCGTAGTGGAAATATAATAAGAGGCATGGTAGGAAAACTGTTCTATTATTAATTAATAGCTTTGGGGAAAAATACTCCTACTTAATGGCTAGCAAAGGAGTGTACATTTGTTATGAATTTACTTTTAAATTATGGGACTTGTCAATGACTTAGATTTTACAGAAAGTCTATTTCAATTTTTAATAGCCAGACCATGTTGGACTTAAACAACCTGGTAACTGGTCATCTCAGTACTTTCAGTAAGTGAGAAATCAAATATTTTGTGCAATATGTTTTGCTTTTTACATGTGATTGCTTTTCTGCTTTTTACTTGTGATTTAAAGCACAAAAAAAGAATCCCAGGGAAGGGGTTCAGTATATACCGTAAGGAAACTCTTCCACCCATCCAACAGGACATACCTACAGAGTGTGATTAGATAAGAAGACTTGGATTGTTCTGTTTTTTTAACAGTAGTATACTGTAGGTGCAGCTAAAAACCTGAAATTGCTGAATTCTATTCACAAATCTGATAATGTAACAGCCACTGCATCACTTCATCCAGTGGATGTTGTGCTCATGCAGTTGAGACTATTAATGATATTTGCTTTATTTATGCAGTTCTGGAGATCTTGCAAGACAATCCAGTCAGAATTACCAAAGGCCCCTGCAATCATGTTTTTTTTCTGTTTATATAAAATTACAGAGCTGTGTTTCCAAGGCACATAAGTACAAACAAATGACAGATGGATAGACACCAAAGAAATGCATTTAATATTTGCTTTGGGCAATGACTTCAGATGCATATAAAAAGCCACTGTCTATTAGACTCATCAGAAGCCAGCTTGAGGGGGACTCCAGTATATGTTGGTTTATTTCCTTGTAGATCTGGACCAGATTCATCCGCTCCTATCATTAATGGAATTGATGTAGTCGGGAAGCCAGCAGCTAGGAAGGCAAAGGACATGTAACCAGTAACAAGGCTAGAAAAGCAATTTCAGTTGAGAGACGTCCAAGACGCAGGTTTTGCCTGGAAAATTTACAAGCAAGCTGATATGTGCTGTCAACGAAGATCCCACCCCTGAATCATCCCTCAAAATAATTAAAATTGACAACAACACCAAGAACATAAGAAAACCCTGAGTGACACTACTGCTGAAGTGCCTGGTGGAGAATAAGATTAGCAAAGACAAATGCCTGTTGCAGTTCAACAGCTGGGGCCTGCTCCTTCAAAACCATTTCCTGATGTTAAGTCTCAAGTTTCTTTTGTTTAATATTGAGAGGTTTCTCACTCTAAGGCCCAAAAAAGGACTGCAAATTAATTTGGACTGTGGATTCTTTTTAATACGAACAAATTCTCACCAAACAATTCTACCAACCAATTAGCAAAGCCATTCTGTATCACGTACATGATACAGCATGGTGCCCTTGAACATTTGAAAAAGCCGAGGCTATATTGCTGTACTTTCCTGCAAGATGTTATTTCTTACAGAAAAAAACAACATAAGAAAGGATTAATCTTAAAATCATTTAACGAAAGAAGAGCAAACTTTTAGTACAGCAGGAATTTGGCTGCACTTTATGGGGTGATGTACTGTATGTGCTGCTGATGATAACAATGCTTATTTTTAGAGGGGATACTGTATGTGAAGCAGACCACTCAAGTTATAATTAGGAATCTTTTTTTCCCTTTCCACAGTCCCAGACAAACACCTCATGCATCAGAGTGAAAGGATCTTTAGGCAAACAGACAGTAGAGAGATTTGGACTATTAAAGAACAGGTGTGATGTGCAAATTAGCATTCCGTCCAGCCAACTGGCAGAGCAGTGGGGCATCGCACCCAGGGTGAGAACATGAAGGCCCTGGAGAAGGTTTGAGGTTTGTAGGGATAATCTGTATGCACTTCCTAAATGTTTTGGGAGATTTTTTGTGGGGAATACGAGGTTATGCCCTCAAGACCACAAGAGGCACAATTTTTCCTCCTGCATCACACCCAGTGCCCTTCAGACAGGTAGTGATCAACCTCTCTTTCTGACAGCTCTCAGACCTGTTCATTTGTGTTCTCCTGGCACTTTCCCAAGTGTTTGATTAATGTCTCCTGTTGTGCTGTGGCTAACTGATCAAAGCCATATCTCCAATGCATAAAAGCATGATCTCTTTCATAAAAACAAATAAATATGGAGATGTATATATGTAATATTATTCAGCTTGAATTTCCATGCTTCCATGCAAATATTCCCAAAATATGCTGCAAGGCATGAAATACCAAGAGGTCAGTGAGTCATACTGCTGACTCACCAACTTCCTAAAGTGAGTCAACTTCACCAACACCTAAAGTGGCTCTAACTAAAATGCATTGAGGAAGGACCTCTTTCCAAATCTGCATCTACTGAATGTTTGTAATTTTGGCCCTTGTTTTTTTAGTTGCTTAAGTACAACTGATGTATCCAATTTTCCGCCATGTTTCTGCTGATACAGCCTTTTGCTTGCCAACTGTTTCATTTCCACCAAAGTCCTGGGCAGGGATATCTGACAAGAAGCGTGAGGAGGAAGGAAATTAGTCTCACACACCACTGAGCAGACCACAGGTTAAACAAAATCACAGGCCTGCAACATTCTCATGTATTCAATATCAACAAGCAATAATATATTATGATATTATTGAGTTTATAATATTGCACTTCACTAGCTGGTCTGTTGAGTTTACAAGTCAATTTTATGTATTTTTTTTCCACAGCAAAACTACCTCCCCAGGACTTTTTAAAGTGTTCTGGAATTGTTTTAATGGTAGTAAGAGTAATAAATGTAGTAAGAGATAGGACACCATTGTGATAATTTACTGTGGTACATTTACCACAAGCTTTCCACACATTTCCTGTGGATTTATTGTGAGTTACCTGTGTGACTTTACAGCACTTCAGTACACTAGACCATAGAAATACCAAAAATGGGACTAATATAGTTACAATTATACAACATGGTTTGGCATAGTCCACCCATTATCAGAGAGCTGCTTCTTGGTGAAGGTTACGGGTAGAGTCTATCCAGGCACTGTGAATGTGTACATACTCTAACGAACTGGCATCGTACGCATAAGGTACGATGCCAGTTCGTTAGAGTATGTACACATTCACACACAAGCGTATAGGGGCAAATTAGTGGTCCAAAGTAAGACAATCAAAATTGTAAATTTACTGTGGTGAGGTACTGTGAGAGTGGGTATAGAAAATAGATAAGAGAAAACTGTTTATACTTCACAAAATGTATATGGGGCAGAAAAAGCAGTATGAATTTATGTCTTCCTTTTTGTATGTACGTACTGTTCGGTAATGTGGTAATGTCACACTTTGTGTTTAGTTTATTGAAAGAACTCAAACTGAGATTAACATTAAGACAATATTAAAAGCTCTTTAAGTTCAAATTCAGTACCAACTATAATTTACCTGCGCTTAAAAACTGGAGAGAAGTGGGATGCAAAATAACTAGAAACAGCCTCTCCCTCCCAGGCTGATGCTTATTGAAAGGTAAGGAAAATGACAAAGCTCCCAGAATGGTGCCTATAACCTCATGAATCTCAGCATCTCCTCCAAATGCCTTGAGCAAACAGCAGCTGACAGCAACAAGTCTGCATTCGTTTACCTCACCTGCTTACCACTGGCACACTGAGACTGCTCCCTCACTCATCACATCTGTCATTTGCTTAAATATTTTTGTAATTTTTACTTGGGAGCATACTCAAAGTAGCTCAGGCCTCTTTTCACCTGGCAATTTGTGATTTGTAAAAATGATAACTGAGACAGGGCAGCACGGTGGTACAGTTGTTAGCATTGTTGTCTTGCAGCACGGGGACTCTAGGTTCAATTGCTAGGATGCTATTTGCGTGATGTGTTTATAATAATAATAATAATAATTGCTTACACTTATATAGTGCTTTTCTGGACATTCCACTCAAAGCGCTTTACAGGTAATGGGGACTCCCCTCCACCACCACCAATGTGCAGCCCCACCTGGATGATGCGACGGCAGCCATAGTGCGCCAGAACGCTCACCACACATCAGCTATCAGTGGGAAGGAGAGCAGAGTAATGAAGCCAATTCATAGAGGGGGATTATTAGGAGGCCATGATTGGTAAGGACCAATGGGAAATTTGGCCAGGACGCCGGGGTAACGCCCCTACTCTTTTCAAGAAACGCCCTGGGATTTTTAACGACCACAGAGGGTCAGGACCTCGATTTTACGTCTCATCCGAAGGACGTTTATGTTCTCCCTGTGTTCTCCCAGCATGACAGAGAGGAAAGAGAGGTTTCATGGCAAATGTGACAAACGGGAAAGTGGTTTTCGATCTCAGGGTTGGTTCAGTCCAAGTTCTTCAGTGGAAGATAGAGGAAGATAAAACTGCAGAAATCATTCAAGCTTGTACTTTTTAATTTAATAAATCCGAGAACAAAAGTAATTAACTAATGAACAGGATACCCCATACAATACAATACAAGTTTTGAAATAACTCAAAATACTAGTATTATACCTCACCTTACTTATAGCTGGAACGATCTACACATTCAGTCACTTATTATTTTTCCTCTGTGCTTCTG